ACACACACACACACACACACACACACACACACACACACACACACACACACACACACACACACACACACACACTGCTTATTGTTTCCCCTCTCACTTATCTTCATATGAACCTTCCTGAGCTTTATCACACTGTCCCTGAACCAGCTCTGCTTCTATTCATCAAAGGATCCATACAATCTGGCCTTCGAWCCATCTACTCCACACACTTTATCCTTATTTTTCTATTTCCTAACACTGTCACTCCTCTTCACTGTTCTGTGATTTCCCCCCCTCCTCTATTTTCCTTTTCATTTTCTGTTCTCTCCATTCTTTCTTCTCTACCCTGCTACCMCTAATGAGCGTTGCCATGGGTAGATCGATACAGGATGGAGTGTTTGTTCTCAGCGCTGAGAGGAAAATGAATGTGGCTGCCATGCATCCCCCCCCCATCTGTGTGAGAGTGTGTGTCATCAGTGTTTGGTTGGCATCTGTGTTTGTTTACCTCTCATCATGTTCTCATTGCAGTTGCCTTAGTTTTAAATTGAGACCCCAGGGTTAGGAAGAAGTTCATGTGATGGATATAATTTTGCAAAAAAAAAAAAAAAAAAACTGCTAAAAGAAAATTTAAATGATTGTGTGAAACATTTTTAGGGAAAAATCTGATCATGAACTGTGTTCAAAATCTAAGTTTTACAAATGTTTCTTTTAGGATTGTTTACATCACAGCAAACAAACACAAGTCAGGTTTCCTAACAACACTGCTGTAGCACCACAACTCAAATATGCAATTTACTTTTAGACAGAATATATTTTTGTGCAGTGTGCATTTGTAACAYGTTTTTTCTGTACTCTGCTGTAGTTTCTGGAGGGTGCCACTATTGAGGTGGATCAGATCCACACTCACATGCGGCCGTTGCTGATGATGCTGGGCGATTACCGCAGCCTGACGCTCAACGTTGTGAACCGCCTGACCTCGGTCACACGCCTCTTCCCAAACTCCTTCAACGACAAATTCTGTGATCAGATGATGGTGAGAACCTTC